GGGTCTTTATAGCCCACGCTGGCCTTGGACTTACTGTGTGGTTGAGGATGACCTTGAATTTCTGATTTGCTGTTTCTACCTTCCAGGTGCTAGGGTTACAGGTGTGCACCATTACACCTGGTTTACATGGTGCTGGGGATCAAACCCAGGGCTTAGTGCATGGTAGGCAAGCATTGTACCAGCTGAGAGTTACATCCCAACCTTCAAGTTGAGCCTTGAAGGCTGAGTAGGAAAACTCTCCAAGGACATGGGGGTGGGGTGGGGAGGTGGGGTGGGGAGCTGCAACTCTTCCAAATGCTATTCCTTTCCTGCAAGGAAGGTGTACTTATTTTATATCATGGGTATGAGTGTTTTGTCTGCATTTATATATGTATGTGCACCATATTTTGGGGGCCAAATGCCCGTGGAGGCCAGAAGAAGGTGTTGGACCCCTAGAACTGGAGTTACAGATGATTGTGAGCTGCCATGTGGATGCTAAGAACCAAACCTGAGTTCTCTGGAAGAGCAGCCAGTGCTTTCAACCACTGAAGCATCTCTCCAGCCCCAATATTTTCTTAAAAACAACAACAACAAAAACCTGCTTTATTATCTGTGTGGGTGTGTAGGTGCAGGCATGCGCCACGGTTTGTGTGTGTGTGTGTGTGAGACAGAGGACAGCTTTGTAGTGTCGTTTCTCTCCCTACTCCGCTGAGCCATCTTGTGGACCCACAGATGTCTTCTAAACTCACATTTCTGAAGTGTGTGTGTGTGTGTGTGTGTGTGTGTGTGTGTGTGTGTGTTTGAGAAAGAGACAGAGGGAGAGACACAGGATAAACTGACAACCTGCATAGGAGTTTATTTGAATAATAATTTATCTATGAAATGGAATATTAGTGACCATTAAAAGTAGTTTTGGCTGAGCAACAGGATCACAAGTTCAAAGCCAAGCTGGACCACCAAGTGAGATCTTGTCTTAAAAAATAGAAAGGATGCTCTATACCTATTACTCAGTTTCAAATTCCAGTACACTGTATTGCAAGGTGTTGACGTGGAAACTAATTGGGTTTTCTGGTCACGGCAAGAATCCCTCCCATTGCTGCCTCAGAGTCATGCCTGTCCTCCTACCCCCACCCTCCCATTAGGTCCCAGGAATCTTTAATCTCTCTTTCCTTCCTTTCTTCCTTCCTTCCTTCCTCTCTCCCTCCTTCTCTCCCTCCCTCCTTCTTTTCTTTCTTTCTTTCTTCTTTCTTCCCACTTATTTTGTGCTGAATTTATTTTGGGGCTGTAAGGAAGTAATTTTCTTCTGTGTAACCTCCTCTTCCGGCTTAGAAACAGTTTGTTCCTTTTCAGCGAAGAGTCACCTCCACGTGGCAGGGGTGCTCACATATGGCTACTGTGATCCCGAGTTCTGACAGCAGGCACTTTGTTCAGTGACTGGAGAATCCACCACTAAACCTTCAAGCTGAGCATTCCTTCCTACACTTTTAAGCATGCGCAACACAAATTCAGCAGTGTTTTTGACCACTGATGCTCTCCAGCCCCTCTCTTTGGCCAGGGTTCGTCTACTGACTCCAGCAGTATAATGGCTGTCATAGTGGCACACGCTGCTTCTTTAAAGTGATGCCTTTCAGATACTTTATGGTTTTCCATGGCTTTTGGATATGCAAACCATGGACAGCCTGAACAATTTCATAGTGTTCTTAAAGTAAATACAAAGGTTTAAACCGCTTGATCTGTGTGACTTTGTAGGGTTTTCTGGGTCAAGAGCATAGTAAACAGTTTCACAGGTCACCTCCGGCTGCTCACAGGAAGAGGATGTCTCCATTTCTTTACTCATTCAAGAATATTACATAAATAGAGTTGTGTGAACTCTACCTTTTTGTTGGCTTTTTTCCTACTTTTCCTCGTGAGGTTGCTAGTACATGTATCACTATTTGTCTCTTTTTATTGCTGAGTAATGTTAAAATAATAGATTTACAAATTTAACAGTTCACAGGGCTGAAGAGCCAGATGGCTCAGCAGTTAGAGTACCTTCTTCCAGAGGACCTGGGTTTGACTTCTGCCACACACAGGGCGGCCCACAATCACTTGTAACTCCAGTTCTAGGGGATTCCTTGGTCCTCATGCATGCACATGGTAAACAGATGTAGGGGCAGGCGGAACACCCATACACATAACTAAACTTTAAAAAATTCCACAAAGTTTAGTTATTTGTCTGTTGAGGGCAAACTTTTTGGGAGTGGGGCGGTACTAGAGACATGACCCAAAGCCTTGAGCATGGCAGATCTTCAGAATTTTTGTTTTGTTTTATTATGTTTTTGCCTTTTTATTTTTAAGATACAGTCTTGGTGTACCCAAAGTTAGCCTTGAACTTGAGAACTTGTGTAAGTCTGTTAACATGTGTGCCATGGTGCATGTAAGCACAGAGAGCAGCGTGCAGAGTGGTTTCTTTGCTTCTATCATGCCAGTCCTGGGATGGAATTCAGTCCTTCTGGCTTGGCAGCAAGCACCTTTCACCCCTGAGACATCTTCCTGACCCTGTTCCAATTTTGGTATATGTCTGTGAACACGTGCAGTATTTAAGTAATTCTGGTAAATGTGTAGTAGTATTTAGTGTGATTTTAATTTACATGTGGTTAATATTAATGATGTTGAATATATTTATAAGTGTCCAAACCGTAATAAAATATTAGAAAATAGACTATATTTGTGAAAGATACTGGTCAGTATTTGTGTGTGTTTGTGTGTAAGATCTTGTCTGGCATGTTCAAGGCTTTGGGTTGTATATCCACACACATGCACATCTCTTTCTATCTTTGTCTGGTACTGGGTTGTATTAGCTTCCTCAAGTGAACTGCACTGTCATTTGTTCTGTGGGTGGGATTATATACGATTGTCACTACTTAAACAGTGAGCTGATATAGCTGATATACTGGAGCCATCAGGCCTGGAGAGTTCTGCTTTGAGAGTTCAAGTTATAAACCTGATTTTCTTATGAGCTGTAGTTTCACATTATTCATTTGGATTGGGTGGCTTGAAATGGTAGATGCTTTTGTTTGTTGTTTTTCCTCTTTTCTAGGAATTCGTCCATTTAATCTAAATAATTAAATTTATGTTCAGAGTTGTTCATGGTATTACTCCATTCTTTTGATGGGTATAGGGATTGTAGAAATATGTCTCATTGTCTTTGCTGGGAAGATTGAAACAGGATTTTACTGTGTAGCCCATGCTTGAACTTGTGGTCCTCCAGTCTATACTTCATAGGAGTAAGGATTATAGGTGTTATCCACCATGCCAGGTTTCATGCAGTGTTGATAATTGAACCTGGGACTTCATCCATTCTAGTCAAGTATTCTACCAAGTGAGCTACGTCTTCAGCACATAAATACCATGGTTTTGTTGTTGCTGTTTTGGGTTCTTTCGAGGCAGATAGGCCTGGCTATCCTGGAAGTCACTGTGTAGACCAGACTGGCTTTAAATCCTCCTGCCTCTCTGCCTCCTGAGTGCTGTAACTAAAGGTGTGTGCCTTTAGTTACTCCCGTCTTCAAGTGGACAGTTTCTCATTGAGACTCCTTCCCCAGTGTCTTTCCGAAGCCCGGGGTCTGCTTCCTCCCTTGGGGTGTCTAGGCACTGATACATACAGGTGCTGGACTCAAAGGAATGAAGCTTAGCCAGGCGAATGGGGAGGGGTCCCCACTATCTCTGATACAGTTTTTTCCAGCGATACAGCTCCTCTTTATTGAGGTGGGGGAAATGAAGGCTATGAACCTTAGGGAAATAGGTTGGGGTTTTCAGGGTGAGTGGACATCAATTGAGGAATTCCAGTTGTTAGCTGGACATGTCCTGGTCACCAGGCTACATGACTACCTCAAGGGTGTCAGAGGTGGGGGTCGCTAGACTAAGTGGACCTGGAACTCGCTATGTAGACCCATCTGACCTCGGACTCAGATGTGCCTGCTTGTGCCTCCTGCCTGTTCAAGGTCGCTTTCATCCTTCATGCCCTGCACACCCATCTTCTCCTGAGGTTCGGGGTGCAGTCCAGTCGTGGAGTGCTAACATGGATGGATGAGTAGCTTGGGCTCCATCTTTAGCACTGCAAGAAAAACAGGAGGGAAGGAAAAGGGAATTTCTATCTTCTCTCTACCCTCACTGTCACAGACTGTCCCAACCCTTGAACTGAGTCCCAGAGCGGCTAAGTCCCTCAGGCACCTAAATTTCTAGCCTCCTGCTTTCCTCTCACTCTTGTTTTCCTTTCGGAGGCTTTTAGTTGTTCTTACAGGTGTTTAATCTGCCCATTAGGAATGAAACTCTCCACTGTCCTTTGAAATTAGGCTGATCTCAGAATAAATGCCCATTATTGTGCCTTCTGTCATTTGGATAATTTCTATATGGCCAGTAGAGGCTCAGTTGGATTCATGTGTTTGCTGCTTTGTGTGCTGTTTGCTTGTTTTGTGGACATGTCTTACTACTGTACTCCAGGTTGTTCTTGAACTGATGATTCTCCTGCCTCAGCCTGTTAAGTTCTGAAATTATAGGGATGTGTTTGTGTGGGTGTGTATCTCCATTCCCAACTTGGGATTCAGGAACATTCTTATTGTTTGGTTCTAGAAGACTATCCTAGGCTTCAAAACTTTCTGGCTGGTTGTCAGGGGTAAAAATTCTGGTGTCAGGAACCACATATACACCTATAATCTCAGCACTGGCAAAGTGGGGGGCAGGAAAATCACTTCAGGCCTGTCCTGTGCAACACAAGACCCAGTCTCCAAACAAGCAAAAATTCCGGCTTTGAGGTGATTGTCCAGGAAAATTTCTCCACTCTCTGGGGACAAGCAATCCATGCCCTGTACTCCTGTGATCTGAGAATCAAGGTATGTCCCTGGAACCACATGGAGCTATGTGCTTATACAGTCATTCTCCTGTGTGATGGACAGAGGCTGGTAGAGACATGCCAATACCCAGGCTGGTTGTTCTTGTAGGCTCGAAAGGTAAGGGGTCACTGTTGCTGTTGTTGTCATTATTAGGGCAGCGTGGACATTCTCAGACTGACTCTCCAGGGTGAACTGGCAAGAGATGAACTTGAACACATAGCTCAGAAGGTATCAAGGTGTCTGTTGGGGCAAGGCCTCCTCTCAGCCAGTTCTTCCTTGCTGCCAACCCCTCACCCTAATGTTGTCTGGAGCCACCTCTGTTGCCCGCAAGCCTGAGAGCATCTCCTTTCAGACAGACCCAGCTAGATCAGCCGCATGCTTTGGGAAGTGGGAGACCCCCACTAAAATCAAAACTAACCCCCGTTTTCTACTAATGTCCCCTGTTGTGTGTCCTTGTTGTTGTGTGGCTGTTCTTGGAGGGAAAAGAAATCAGAGTGAAGCTTTTTGTAGGTCTCCGTGTGGGTCAAGGGCAGGAGGTCCTTGTTGCCGTGTGATATCTGAATCACTTTTCTCCCTCTCTCTGGCAGGCGGACAAGAAGACCTATGCCACACTCTCTGACCGCTCTTCAAGTCATTCTCTGGCGTCAGAACTGGTGGAGTCCTGTGATGGACATGAAGAGATCATCAAGGTGAACTTGGTCCTTTTTCTTCTGCTTTCCCCCTTCAGGTACACGAAGGGAGCTGATGACTTACAGCTCATAAACTAACTGGGAAGAACAGGGAGATGCTAGCTCCTGTTCATCTCCTACAGGGATTTTACACCTAGAGTTCAGAGCCTGTAGTGGGTGACTTTGGCTGAACCAGGCATGGGGATGAAGACTTGTCCTTCTTTTCTAAAAATAACTTTAGAGGAAAAAAAAAAAAAAGAAAGAAAAGAAACAAACCTTTAGAAGAGGCTGGGCAGGTGGCTCAATAGTTAAATGCTTGCTTCTCTTGAAGAGGACCTGAGTTGGGTTCCCAGTACCCATGTCAAGTGGCTCAAAATTGACTGAAACTCCAGCAACCAAGGAATCTGATCCCCTCTTCTGGCTTCCCTAGGCAACTGCACTCATGTGCAGTCTCCTACACAAACATATATCCAAACGTGTAATTAAAAATCGTTAAAATATGTGGCTGGGGAAATGGCTTAGAAGTTAAGAGCACTGGCTGCTCTTCCAAAGGCCCTGGAATCAATTTCCAGAACCCACATGGCAGCTGCGATTGTCTGAGACTCCTGTTCACCAGGTGATCTAATGCCCTTTTCTGGGCTCATAGGGCACCTGACACGTGGTGGGGTTCAGACATAAATGCTGGCATAACTCCAGTACACATATAAATATTTATTAAAATATTTTTTAATTAAAAATAACTTTATAATATAATATATACTTAGATAATTCACACATGACACAATGAACTCAGTTAAAATAGTCAATCACTGTTTTTTTTGGGATAGCCATAGAGTTATAGAAACATCACTGCTTTAAATCCCAGGGATTTTTTGGTTTGTTTTTTGTTTTTAATTAGAGACCAGGTCTATATAGTCCAGTTTTTGTCTCAGACTTGCAGTATTCCTTCTGCCCAGCTTCCTGAGTCTTGCAACCTCAGATGTATGCCAGCAGGACTGGCTTCAAAATCATTTCCAGTTATTTCTTCAGCTCTGCCAATGTCTTTCTAGACTTACGTATTCTGGCTAGTTACACATGGAATTAACAGCATGTGACCTGTTTTCTTCAGTTTGCTTCCTTTTTTAAAATGTCTATTTCTAATGAATGGTAATTGCATGTATTAGGGGGACTCAGTGCGACCTTTCCATGCATGCATTTAGCATGTTTTAACAGTTGGATCGGTAGTTGCTGTACTGTCAGCCCATATGACAGTATCATCCTAGTTAATGGTTACTGTAACTTTGTGGCTAACTATGAAATAGTCCCTTAAGGGTTTTTTGTTTAGGTTTTTTGTTTGATGCTCAGGGTTCCTTAACTTTTTTTTGTGTGTGTGTGTGAATTTTAGGCTTAGTTTATCAGTTTCTGCAGGACTGTGTTGAATCTCTTGGTCAGTTTGGGAGGGATTGCTGTCTGAGTCTTCTGTACAGAAAGACAGGGTGAACTACAAAGTTAAATTTTTAAAGTTTTAATTTTTTACAAAACTAGTTTGTAAATTTAAAATAGAAAATTTGAATTTATTTCCCTATTTAAAAATACTTACTTTGGGTTTATTTATTTTATTCTTTGTGCATGAGTATTTTGCTTAAATTTGTGTCTGTGTACCACGTGTGTACCTGGTGCCACATAGAGGGTATCGGGATCTCCTGGATGGTTGTGAGTTGCCATGTGGGTGCTGGCAATCAAACCTGGGTCCTCTCTGAGAACAAGTGTTGTTACTTGTTGATCCATGTCTCCAGCCCCTCCTTTTGCTATGTTTTGTAGATAAGTAAGGTCTTACATTATAGGCTAGGCTAACTTGGAACTTGATATGTAACCCAGTTTGGCCTCAACTCTTAATTCTCCTGCCTCTGCCTCTCAAGTCCTGGGTTTAAAGGCATGAACCACTGAACCCAGCTTTGGAAGCTATTGTTATTACTATTTTTTTTTACTCCCCATTGTTTTGTTTATCTTTTTGAACAGATGTTAATGTGGTGGAGGAAACTTATTGTTACAATATTATAATTAAAACCATATATTATTACCTCTTTTTTTCTGTTGTTACTTTTAAGATAGGATTTCACTTTGTAGTTCAGACTAGCCCAGAACTCCTGCCGCAACCTCCCAAGTGATAGAATTACGAGTGTGAGCTACCACACCGAGCTGTCAATGGAATTTTACTTACTGCTTCATTTGTTTGTGCGGACATGTGTAAGGGTGAGTGTGCATGTTAGTGTGCGCGCGCCTGTGCACCTGTGTACCCACGCAAAGAGCAAAAGAGGCCACGTGGGTGTCCTCTGACACTGTCTGCCTTTTCTTTTGAGGCAGAGGTCTCTCCCTAAACCTGAGGCCTGTGTGTTCTCAGCTCAACTGTAAGCCACCAAGCCCTGGTGATCTCATCTGTGCCCACTGGGAGCTGGGTCACAGGCACTTGTGGGGAAGCCAGCTAGCTCGTCACCTTGGTGCTAGCACTCATGATTTCAAACAAGTGCTCTTAGCCATTGACTCATCATCTCTCCAGCTCCTGTAAATGAGATTTCATCTTTGGATTGCTAATTGCTAGAGTGTAGGAAGACAAATCAGTTTGTACACTGAAGTAGTGTCCTTCAGCCCTGCTGCTCCAAACAGGTCATTCCACAGTGTTTCTTAGGCTGTTCTCTCTTTAAGGTTATGTCATCTGCAAATAGGCATTGTTTTACTTCTTCCCTTCCAAAGTGGAAGCCTTTAATTACTTTGTTTTCCTTACTCAAAGTAATTGCATGCTTCTTGAAGAGGGCAAAGCTACCCCATAATCCAGCAGGTAACCACTGTAAACATCTTGCTGTAGACGCTTGCAGACATACATGTGCACTTTTTTAAAAATAATTTATTTAATTTTATTCTATGTGCTTTAGTGTGAAGGTGTCATATCTCTTGGAATTGACGGTACAGACAGTTGTGAGCTGCCGTTTGGGTGCTGGGGATTGAACCTGGGTCCTTTGGAAGAGCAGACAGTGCTCTTAATCACTGAGCCATTTCTCCAGCCCTTTTTTCTTTTTCTTTTTTTTTTTTTTACATGTGCACTTTTTAAAAAAGAAAATGAAATTGTGTTCATATATTCTGTCCTATCGTCTCCTCCCACACCTAATGACACATTGTAATGTCTTCTGTGTCTATAAGTATCTGGCATTTTAGTGACTACATAATGTTCCATTAAAGACATGATTTATTGAATTAATAGCTTATTGTTGGACATTTTGTCCTTCTTCATTCATTCGCAACCATATCTCCTGCTTGGCAGAACACAGATGTGTTCTAACAGTCAGAGCGACTTCCTCAGCTGGAGATGCTGAAGTGTGCTGAGAGAGCATCAGGCCGCCTTCAGACCTTTTTTTGTGGGAACTGCAGGACTGAGTCAGAGTTCACCCTTCCCGCTGCTTTTCCATCAAGTTACACTGTGTGGCTGAACGTTCATGCTGGTGTGGTTGTATATTGTCGAGCGGAATTTGTTGTGTTAGGATGAGTGTCTAGAAGTAGATTAAGTAGGCCCAAGAGTAATACATTCTGGGCTGGCCGTGGCTCAGCTGGAAGTGCTTGTCTTGAATGTGTGAAGCCCTGTGTTTGTCCCAGCACTACTGCCCTGAGTAATAGGAATACAGTTAAGCTCTTCTGAGCTGGATCACCAAATTGTCACCTGCTAAGTTGGTGGTATCGGTTTGTTCCTTTCGCCTGAGTATGAGCTATGTGTTTCTTAACTAAACAGTGCTGTCTTTACTGCAGGTGTACTTGACGGGGAGGTCTGGAGACAAGAGGATCCATGAGAAGAACATCAACCAGCTGAAGAGTGAGGTCCAGTACATCCAGGAGGTGTGGACCCCTTTCCTTGAGGGAACACCTACATTCTCTGAACCTTACAATTTTGGGACTACCTTCTCTTATGGGTTCTGATGGTTTTTCTTTCTGTTCTTTTTATTGTCACTGAAGTGCCCCATTCCCTCCTGTGTCAAATAGTATATAAGTATTTTTGTTATTTGTGTTTTGAGAGGGGACCTTTCTGTGGAGCCCTGGCTGTCTTGGTACTTACTCTATGCAGACAAGGTTGGCCTTGAACTCTGCCCACCTCTGCCTCCTGAGTGCTGATAAATAGCATTTTTGACCTTCTGGATCTAATCCATTAATGAATAAATAATTAAGTATCCTGTGCCTAGCTAACTCAATAGTCTGAATGGTCAGCCACATTCCCCAGTGTTTCCCAGCCCCTGCCTGGCTTATGTATCTCCTTAGCACTTAGCACTGGATTCCATATTACCCATTTATTTGTCTTTTGTGTCATGTGTCTTTTCAGCGAGCATGTCAGCACTGCCAGGGGAGGGGATTAATTTGTGTTGTTTGTACAAGAGAGACAAGATTGCCAGCTGGTTGGGCACAATTCCTCTGTCTGCAGCCCCTGTGTACAGCTATGCCTGACTGAAAGTGGTATGGGTTGGGTCTGTGACCCAAAGGTTCTTAGCTTTCCCTGCCCTGAATCTCAAGTGTCTGGCCCTCTTTTTCCAGGCCAGGAACTGCCTGCAGAAGCTTCGGGAGGATATAAGTAGCAAGCTTGACAGGAATCCAAGAGACTCTCTTCATCAGCAGGAAATACAGGTACTCTTGAATGGTGTTGACTCTCAAGATGTGGCCAGGAAGGGAGAGCATATCAGGGATCTGGCTTCCTGAGAACTCTGGGAGATAGGGTTTCTTAGCACACAGTGCAGAAAATCTTCTATGTAAGTCTTTTTTTTTTTTTTCTTTTTTTTTTTAAATAAAGATTTACTGTTTGTGTGCTTATTTTATTTTATTTCATTTGTGTATTTGCTTATTTTTGAGACAAGGTCTTTCTGAGTAGCCCTAGCTATCCTAGAACTTACTATGTAGATGGCTTCAGGCTCACAGAGATCCACTAGCCTCAGCCTCTCAAGTACTGGGATTAAAGGTGTGCACTGCCACACCCAACTAAGATTTATTATTTTTATTTTATGTGTAGGTATTTGCCTGCCTGTTTTTATGTACCATGTGTGTGCCCAGTGTGCCAGGAGACTGAGAGTGTTAGGTTCCGGGAACTCAAGTTACAGATGGTTATGAGCTGCCATATGAGTGTGGAGAATCAAAGCTAGGTCTTCTGCAAGAACTGCTGTCTCTTCAGTCCAGTCTGTTATTTGTGGGCTTGGAAACTCCTTAGGGGTTCACCACCCTGTCCCTGTGACCTTAGTCTGGCTTAGGGTGTAGGCTGCGGAGCCATCAGCAACAGAGGAGCAAACATTCCATCAGTCTTCTCTGGGAAGGTAGTGTAGATTCTCCTAAGAGCCAGGAAGAAACGTCCTCAGAGACAGAGCAGTGTCTTCTTGACCCCTCACTTGGGCTACTGAGACCAGAGTTCTGTGTCCTTTGTTTGCCTTTTGGTTTGAGCCAGGTGGTCTTTCTCCAGCAGGCTCCTCCCTGGGCTGAAGGGAGTAGTGGCCTAGCAGGTGGTGCCAGATGGGTTCCTTTGTCTTGTCAGGGTTTCGTGTGCTGGACATTTCCACATTCATCTTGTATTGGCTGAAAGCAGCACTCTCAAGGCCCGTTGTCACACCTGGCTGGTGGGAAGCCCCTTGTCAAGTGGCACCAGAACCTTTTGTGCACAGTCAGGGTCAGGCCACAAAGCCCAGGCCCCTTGTTAGCACAAATCAGAAGTCACACGATGAGACAGTCTGCCTTTGGGTCAGACAGTTATAGTGAGAGCTTCTTTCTTGATTTATGCCTTGTCAAAGCCTGTCAGGATCCCCTGAAAAGAAGAGTGCAGTGTTTATAGCAAGTGGGGCTTGTGCTCCTGGGAGGGATGTGGCTCACACATTTTCCACTCCTCTGCAGGTTTTAGCCTGAGGTCTATCTCATCCAGCTCACAAGTTATAATCCCTCCCAAGGCCATGCTACCCTCTACTTTCCGTTTTCTTGTGAAGCACTGGGAATCTTTTTCTCTTGCTCCTTTCTTCTCTTCTGCTTGTTCCCTTCCCACTCCTTTTCCTACTTCTTTTTCCTCATTCCTTTTTCCTCTCTCTTTCCTATAAGATTTTTAAAAGTTACATTTATTGTGCATGTGAGCGTGCACACATGTGAATCTGTGTATGTGTATGCACTCATGCCATGACACACATGTAGATGTCAGGGATGACTTGTAAGAGTCAGTTTTCTTCTCTGTCAGATAGGTTCTGGGGATTGAACTCAGGTTGTCAGGTTTGGTGGCAAGGGCCTCTGAGCCATCTCTTGGGTCTGCAGGGTTTGACATCTAAGAAATATAATGCTTCAAACTTTCTTGCTTGGTTAAATTGTTAACCCCTGACTTTATTTTTCTTTAAACAGGTGGTACTAGAAAAGCCAAATGGCTTTAGTCAGAGTCCCATGACTCTCTACAGCAGCCCACCTGAGGTAGGTAATGGGAGAGGCCTTGGTGAGCAATGTTTAACCAGTGGACAGCATCCTCTGCTCCCTGCCCATCCCACCTCGTACTTATTTGGTATAAAAATCAAACAACAGGGCACAGAAAAGGCAAACATTCCCCACGTTAACTGCATAGAAGCAGCCACTGCTGGTGTGTGGGTCCTCCTAGAGTGTTGTCTCTGACTGGCTGCCCCTTAGATGAGCCTTAAGAGCTTTTAAGGAGTTGATGCCTAGCTCCCCTCCCTTGAGTAACTTCTGAGATGTGGCCTGAGCAGGAGGACTTCTTTATGTTCATGAGTGTTTTGGCAGCATGTATGTGTGTGCACATGTGATCCCAGTCTCCACAGAGGGCAGAATTCCCTGGAACGAGTGTTACAAGCAGTTGTAAGCCACCATGTGGGTGTAGGGAGCTGAACTTGGATCCTCTGGAAGGGCAGGAAGAACTCTTAACTGCTGAGCCATCTCTGCAGCCCACCATCAGGATATTTTACAACTCTTTAAGTGATTCTAATACTTATCTAAAGTCTAGTTTCCTATGCAGATGCTTATTTAAATACTGTGCTTATTAAACACAACGTATGTTCATACATATTTAGGACCATGCTAAGCTCATTCTTGCTTACTTTCCCCCTAGCATGCTCTGTAAGCACTTTTATTCCTGAGGCATATCCCCAGACTCCTGGTTTTTGTTTTTGTTTAAGTCTCTTATTTTTTTATTTTTTTGGGGGGGTTAGGGGAAGGACAGGGTCTCTATATAGTGCTGGCAATCCTGGAACTCACTATGTAGACCAGGCTGGCCTGTAAGTAACAGATCTTCCTGACTCTGCCTCCAGAGTGATGGAACTGTTCAGCACCATGACCAACTTTAAGTCTTTTCATGTTAGTTCATAGAGCTTTATTTCATTGCTGTGTTTTAAAAAAAAAATGATATTTGTTACCTTGTGTGATTAAATCATAAGATATATTAACTGTAGAAAAATCTTAGAAATTCAGAAACACAAGAAAGTAAAACAAGAAAAATTTAACAGCTTTAGTCTCTGTCAGTGGCAGCAGTAGCCTGTAAGCAGCCTAAGGGCATCACTCCCCCTTAGGGACTGCCACTGAGGAGGAAAAGCCAGATTCCTATTTGCAAAATAATTGCAGGATTGGTCAGAGTAAAACAAAGTTGTCAAGTTTATTAGTAAAGATGAGGATTGGTACATATTTCAGACTTCAATGTAGGACATCAGGGAAAGCGAGAGGCTTAGGAAAAAGCACACACGGGCGTACAGGGATGGCCAGCTTAGTGTCTCTACAGTGGCTGTTTGTGATCTTGTGGCTTTCTAAATTACATTGCTCAAAAGATATAATTTACAATATAATTTGAAGACTAAGCAAAACTTAAGTTTTAAGTTTAAAGATTAAGTAAAAATATATGAGGTGGCTTATTTCTTGTCTTAAAGAATTTTTTTTGTAAATGAAATTGTCAAGTGGTATAAAACATTCTTTTTTACATTTACTTATTGTGTGTGTGCATGGCCATATGGATGCCCATGTGGTGTGGAGCTCAGAAGACAGTCTGGGGGACATGGTTCTCTCCTTTACTACATGGGTTCCAGGCATCAAGCCTGGTGAGGACTGCCAGCAAACCCTGTTACCCACTGAGCCATCTGATCATCCTGTGAGGTTTCATGAGGTCTGGATTTTTGGGATGAGAGAGAAGTGATAATTTGGTCATGTTTACAAATATTTTAGTCCAAAGTAAGCCCAGGTGCATTTGTTATTTTTAGCATCCTTGTTTAACTACCTCTTAGGAAAGTGTTCATGTTTCTGTAAGCACTCTTAGCGTTATCAGTTCTGTTTAAGGTTTTGTCTCCAGCCAGATTCCAGAAGGAAGGGTTTCTTTCTCTTCCCATGGCTTCTCCTTTTTCCTGTCTCTCTATCCTGTCTCATCCTCAGAGAGAAAAGGTTATACTTTGGTAAAGTTTTCTCTTGTCTTTTCATCCGTGCAAATACTTAGTTACAATTTTGAGAGAGAACCACACACCACATTTCTTTGTCTCCTGTTTCTTTGGTGGGTGGCTTTTTGTTTGTTTGTTTTGTTTTTAAGGGACTCTGTTCACTTGGTGCTGAGAACTGAACATAGGTCTCTTTAGTAATTATGGCTTGTACCACTAAACTACACATTCAGCCTGAAGGCTGATTTGGGGGGTTTGGGTGTTTTGGGCCTTCATGTATAGAATTGAATCGCACTTATCCATTAGTCACGGCACATCATGGTTCATCAAGGCCTCTCACTGGTTGAACTGTTTTTTTTCTAACATTCCCACTGACTATAAAATACTTAACATATGGCTTTAAATATGACTGTAAAGTGTTTTCAGTTTATGTGATAGATTTATATCTTTTTTCCTGTTTTTTAAAAATTGTTTTGAGAAAATATGTTTTTAGGGTCTATGAACTTTACTGTATAAAATCTGGTTTGTTGAGTCACAAATGATGGCACATGCTGATAATCTCAGGATTTGGGAGACTGAGGCAGGAGGGTCAATGTCAGTTTGAAGCATAGTTTATTATTTGTTCCTCTCATATGTAGTTTTATAACTTCTTCTTTTGGTGTTTCATATAATATTACAAAACCTCTCTGTAGTGCTGGGAATTAAGCCAAGGGCCTTTTACATGTTCAGCAAACAGTCTGCTATTGAGCTGAACGAACCTCTGACATTTTAATTAATGACAAAAAATATATCTTCATGTCATTGGAAGGGTCCTATGAGAAAAGAGTTGAAATAAATGTGTCAGGGGTGTATCCAGGGGCCTGTCGCAGTGTTTTCACTTGGCGTAGGTGCTAGAGTAAGGCTAGAGAGGAATTGACAAGGTAACTTAATTAATGTTCAGATTTTAAGTATGGTTCCAGCCTCATGCTTAATGTTAAATGTACAGCTTGAATTGTTCCTCTTCCACCAAGCACCATATTTGGCAGATAAGTTATTGGTAATAAATTATAGTAACTCCTGGCAGTGTCTGCCTCAGTGCTTCTCACTAGCTCCAAACTGTACCAAATATTGCCTTCCCAACTTTGGAGCTAGCCTGTGAGCTAGGGCGTGGTGAGGAGTCTTCCCCAGGAGTAAGGAAGAATTAGAAGGCTGGGAAGCATCTCCTTCCACCCAACAGAGATTTCTGTGCAGGCAGGGGTGAAGAAGGTCTTGCTGCTTCCACCATGTAAGACAGGAGTCTGTGCCAGACTCTCAGGGAGTTATGGAGTTGTGTTTCATGCCTTTGCAGCAAAATGAGAGTGAGCGAGACCCTACACGTCTGCTCAGCCCTTACCTCCGGCCCACGGATGGGTGTGTCTGGGAGGGACTGCTAGCAGTCACCTCAGTTAGACAGACACCCTTTTCTTCATCACATCAGATCCCTGAGCTTCATGCTTTTGCTCTAAACCTGTCTATCCAGCAACAGCCCTTTTTATGCTGATCTCTGTGTGAAGTGTAAAAACAGCGAAAGAGGTGCCTTTGGATTTCAGGGCTGCTGCCCTCTGTGATGGGAGCCAAATAGCCACTGTCCTTGGGGAGCCTAGTCTAAAAGGGAGGGCTTCAGTCTGAAACTGGGACTTGTGGTTCAGATCTTTCTTTAATCTTAGCCAAGGAAGTTTGATGGCCACAAATTTTGAGCCTATATATAGTGAGTTCTAGATCAACCTGGGATAGAGGTTGAGGCCTTGTTAACAACAACAAAAAGTGATCTCATCTGGAGGAAGGCAGGGCATGTTCATAAAGATACTGTGTGCCCACACACACACACACACACACACACACACACACACACACACACACACCTGCTAAGGAGCCACTGAGATGGTACCTGTGGCCTAGTTTAGGTTTGTGCTGAAATCTCTGAGACCCACAAGGTGGAAGGAGAGAGCCACCTGCAACCTCCATAGTGTTCTGTGGCACACACTGCTACTCTAACACATGATATAAATGTGAAAATGTTTAAAAGAAACCATTCCTGCCCTGGTGATGGTGGCTCACATCCTTAATCCCAGCACTCGGGAGGCAGAGGCAGATGCAGATGGATCTCTGTGAGTTTGAGGTCTACAAAGTGAGTCCAGGACAGCCATGGCTGTTACACAGAAAAAAACCCTGCCTTGAAAAACCAAAAAGAAAAAGAAAAAGGAACCATTCCCTTGATGTGTTCAAAAGTTACTGTGTCCTAAATAGTTGGGTGAGTTGAGACTGGCCAAGTCCCTTAGGGATTAAAGGAAGAATGTTTTTGTGTAAACAGCTCAAAACTCTTGGTTGGCCTTCCCTGTGTCATGCTAATTCTTTTGTGAGGGTGGTCCCAAGTGTAGGGGGATGCAGGGGACTGATGTCAGATGGGGGATGGACACAGGACACGACAAGACAATGGACGGACCTTCTCTTACCAAGTCATAGATGTGGCAGCTTTTCCTTCCTTTCTGTGCTCCGGTTCTAGGTGGACACCAGCATGAGTGAAGATGTTGAGAGCTTGAAGAAGACCGTGCAGGAATTGCTTGCCAAGCTGCAGGAGGCTGAGCAGCGACACCAGGCTGACCGAGTGGCTTTTGAGGTAAGATCTGGCATCTGGAGAGAAGGTGGCCTGAAGGACTGGCTCCTGGCTGAAGGGCCAGAGACTTTCTCAGCGTGAACTCTGTTTTCCTGGGTGGACACCAGCCTAGGAGAACCACAGTGCTGTGAAGCCTTGCTCACCCATCTGCCTTTGCTTTCCTTAGAGGTAAAGTGCTTGCTGTCCAAATCTGGCCATAGTTCAGAGGTCAAGTCTTTTCTTGTTCTTTTCCCTGCAGTGCTGAGGACTGAAATGTCTGTCCCGTGTGCGTGCTAGGCAGTGCTCTGCCACTGAGCTACATGGCTAGCTCTTGAATGTGAGATCTTGATTTTCTGCTCTGCCGACATTGGGTATAGTTCTGGTCTGGGACAGCAGACATTCAGAAGTCATTGCTGTCATAAGGTTCATGGTGTCGAGGCTCCTTGTAGGCAAGGACTGTTGCTGTGGTGTTCACAGACCCTCAGTGCCTGGGAGGTATTTCATCTGTGTGAGACAGTGAGTGAATAACTCTGTCTTATCAAAGAAATAGCTGTTCTGGTGGACACACAGGACTTTGTCACCTTAATCATTGTTATAGTTGATTTCTTAAATTTTATTTTATGTGTTTGGCTGTTTTGTCTGTATGAATGTGTGTCACATCTGTGCCTGGTGCTTGAGGAGGTCAGAAGTAAGCATTAGAGCTCCTGGAGCTGGAGTTTTAGATGGTTGCGAACTGCCACGTGCGTAATGGGAATCAAACCTTCGTCCTCTGGAAGAGCTACAAGTGCTCTAATCCATTGAGCCATCTCCCGCCCCTGTTATTTTTGAGGTAGGGTCTCATGTAGTTCACAAGGGCTTTGAAAAACTCCTGAGTCTCTTCCCAAATGCTGGATTATAGAAGTCTGTCATCATGCCTGGTTGGATTTTTAGTTTTTATTTTTTTTATTTTTGTGGTCCTAGAGATGGAATGCCTACTAGGCTTCCACACTACCAGTGAGCTACATTTCTAGCCTGTAGTTGATTTTGTAGAAAATGACATTCATTTTTTTTCATTCATATGTGCGGTGGGTAGGGAGCTCTTTACTGCCGTGGCGTGCATATGGAGGCCGGAGAACAGTTTACTGGAGTCAGCTCTCTCCTTCCACCATGTGGGTCCTGGGGATTGAATTCAGATCATCAGATTCGGTGGTAATACCCTGCTGAGCTTTCTCACCAGCCCAGTCCTTGCAGCTGACTTCCTTAGAGCTGATTTCCAGTTCTGTTGGAAGAGTTCGCGAACTAGACTCCGCGGCTGGATTGCGCGAGGCTGCATGAGCGCTTTCTTTGGCTGGGTGTAGAAGAGGGAACTAGACTTTGTTTTTCTCGGTGCTCAGTTTCCAAGCACACTTTCCTATCATACGTAGTTTGACTTGGGATGATTTTAAAACGATTTTAAGTTTGTGAGCAAAGCAGCCATTTGGTAAAGGCATTCTCAGGGAAAGGCTTTCCCATGAGACAGTTTAGATAATCTGATTATTCACGTATCACCTAGATGACTACCTATTTCCTCTGTTCTTTGGAAGAGATACAAGGCAAGGAAGCTGGAGCTGCAGCCCTGAGCAGGGTTAAGGTTTTGGAAACATTGAGAAGTGGTGGCATTCCAGACACGCTTATCATTTCTGACTGCATGTGGTAGAGCCTGCTGTTCCCAAAGAAGAGCTGCCTGAGCATCCGCTGCAGGCGCAAGGCTGGGGATCCCAGCAGTTGGGATAGCGGGACTGTTCTTTAGACGTCTGCAGCAGCTGCCCCTTAGGTCAGGTTCCTTCCTGTGGGCAGAGTGGGCTGAGCTACTGGGATAGTCGTTTGGTTTTTGTTGTTGTTTGGGCCTGTTGGTTTTTGTATGTTTGCTTTTTGCACCTCTGATTCTATGGTGAGATTTAGATCATGGCTCTGTTAACTCCATGCTCTGACATGAGTCAGCCTGCATATGGTGTTGATGTACTGAAATGAAAACCCTTTTTCTAAGTTCCTGCCCAAGAAACTGGCTCGTTTTAGGCTGATATCTGTTATTGAGGGTTTCTTAACCTTCCTGATGAGTAAGATTGTCCAGTCTGCTTTTCTGAACCTGGGGGTATAAAGGGCAATTGGTAATTATAAATATTGCCTGTCATTTAGTGTGGGTTCCTGCTCTACTGGCTGCCTACTTTGAAGAGGGATTTGGCTAGGGCGGGTGTGCTCTGTGGACAGGTCCCATTATACACTTTCTGCATCAGGCTTTCTCTGCTCTGATTCTGAAATTGGGAAGAGCCAGACAAACTGGCTGCTTTCCGTCACCTAGGCCTCCCAGAGCTTATCTGGATTCTCTTTTACCAAGTGATCAGGTGACTGGGAAGCAGAGATGTGGGTGGTGAAGTACCCAGGTGGTAGCATGGGTCCTGCCGCTCCCTACCTTTATTTATGATGGGAGAGGATTAAACTAAATGAACACCAGTTTTATAGAGCCCTGTCAAGCAACTGGCTGTGTGCAAAGAACTTTGTGGCTCTTTGGAAGCATGGAAGAACCTGTGTGGCATGAACTTGCACTGTACTCAGGGGTTCACTGACTCTGAGAAGAACCTGCCCAGGCCTAGGGGCTAGAAGGAATATCTGTGGGACTTGAGGGAGGCATTGGTGAGATATAACTAGAGAAAACAAGGCAAGTTCTTTCTTTACCTTCTCATCGTAATGATTAAAAATTCTGCTGTTCATTCCAAAGTGCTTTCTTGTCTGCTGAAAGACAGACTCAGCCTACTGCGGCACCTGCGGCAGGCACTGTGTTGGCCTTGGCGTGGAGGAGTGAGGAAATGGAAGGATGGGGATGTGTCTCCTGAGTTATTTGTTTCTGAGTAGCAGGGAAGCCACAGCATTGGGTTAAGCTTGGTCAGCACTGGAGGGGTTATGGAGGTGTGGAATATGTCAGTGAGGGGGTCTTGATGAACTGTGTGCCAGTTGACCTTGGAGATGGAGTTAGTCTCCACAGTAGTTCTAGATGGGGATGAAAAGTGACAATGTGCTCGCCGTAGTTGCTTCCTTTGTCCCATCGTGGCTCTGAAGCCATCCAGGTTCTTATCTGTCTTTGCCCTTTTCCTTCCACCATTGAACACACATCTGCATCATAGATCACACTCAACCGGTATCAAAGAGAAGCAGAACAGAGCAATGTGGCCCTTCAGAGAGAAGAGGACAGAGTGGAGCAGAAATCAGCAGAAGTTGGAGAGCTGCAGAGGCGCTTGCTGGGGATGGAGACGGTAATGGTGATGTTCCCGGCTTCAGTGTCTAGCCCTGGGGCTGGAAGGGACCTGAGGCTTCTTTCCCTAGTACTCCAAAAGCATCCCTTCCTAGCAGCCATGCACATCCCTTCTGACACCTTCCAGCACTTTAGGAATGAAAGGTGTGTCATCCAGCTTCAGTCTCTTTCCACTACATGTGACACTGTTCCCACCTTAGACTCTTCTTAGCAGCCATTCACTCCACCTGTTTCATCCAGGATTGGCCAGAGCTTGCAGGTGGGCTTGCACAATGCAGGGCCTGCTTTTCCCTCGGGCAGCTGGGTGAGGCTGGGAAGTTTCTGTATGCTGACAGTGGGAAGGGCTACCCCTGACAGGGGAGGGAGCCCATCAAACCAGCCTGGCCTGCTGCTCATTGGCAACAGTCCCGGGCCCAGTAGCAGCCAAGCTGCTGTTTAGTTACACATCTCACCCCAAGCTGTTGACGTCTGTTCCTGCTACAGGCCTTTTCTTTTGTCCCACTCAGGAGCATGAGGCCTTACTGTTGAAAGTCAGGGAAGGGGAGATGGCCCTAGAGGAGCTTCGGACCGAGAACGCTGACTGCCAAGCAGAAAGAGAAAAGTAAGGGCCCTTGTTCACTGTAAAGCTGGGTGTAGGGAAGAAAGGGCGGGCCATGTAGCCTGTTCTCTGGAAGGACACTGGTGCTGATGTCAGATCTTCCGCTCAGTGTGCTTACGCAGGGTAGAGCCCTGCCCAGGCAGATACTGTTCAGAGGGCTGCCTTCTTCAGGGAGCTCATTTAATGTGTGGGGCAAAGACCTAAAGAAAAGGATTTTTGTTTTTAGAGGTAAGGTCAGACGGAGCTGAGGAAGCATGGGCTATCACAGCTCTCAGTGCAGGAGGGTTCACTGGATGAATCACTCCGTACTTCTTACCTTTAAAGCAGAAACACTGGAAGTTCTAGAAGGTCATGTAATTTCTCCAGTCTTTTGGAGACAGAACGAGAACGGGTAGCCTCATGAGGACTTTCTGTTGCTCTAAGCAGTTCAGATAGAAACCAAGCACTACCTGCTCTCCTCAGAGGCCTGTAGGGGATTACTGAGCATTCTTTGCCTCCAAGGTTAGAGGGTTTGGCAAACTTCCTCTGAGGAGAGGAGATCAGAGGTTCCAGATTAATGGGACCCTCAGCGCAAAGACTGTTTCCTGCATCTTCAGAACTGAATGAGACCTTGACAGGACGTGGTGGCACATGATTATAATCTCAGCACGTAGAAGGCTAAGGATTGCTATGGCTCCAAGGCCAGCTTGGGCTGCAGAGTGAAACTCTGTCTCTAACTCACTTCACTCCTTCTGGATGCAGTAGTGGTAGTTTGTACCTATTATCCCAGGTACTCAGGAGGGAGAGGCAGGAGAACCATGAGATCCAGGCCAGCCTGGGCAATCTAATATAGTTTGGCTGAAAAATAGAAGAACAACAAGCAAACAGTTAAATCTCAATGAGCCATAGTAGGTCTGATCACCATTATATAAATGACCCTTTTCAAAGTCAATAAATATTACCTAAAGGGCCAAGATCAGCAGATACTGTTACAGCCCCTCTGTCTTCAGAGGGTCTTTTCTTTTCCTTAGAGAACCCAGGTTTGACCTTTCCAGCATGGAAAATGTAGGCACCTTTTTATTATAGCCTCCTTTCTAGTTTGATGTCATATCAAAGTAACTTTAAAGGAACAGTTAGAGCTATGTTAGTGTACTTTTTATCTTATTTTATTTGGGTTTCTTATACCTCTACCTCTCTTCCAACCCTTTCCACTGTAATCCCTTCCAACACCCCAATATCAGGTAGGAGAGAAAGGTGATTATAGGGGAAGAGGCATCATATGTCTCTTTAGGCTACTTCCTGTTGTTTAGGAACATCAGGTTCCTTGCAAAAAGTCCAGTCTTTGTAGTCAGGATGTCTTTAACTACTTCTCAAACCACAACAACAAGGAGCAGCGGGGGGGGGGGGGGTAGCAGCAGCCTTCTTTTGAGCACTTCTATTCCTCTCTGGACTCTGGTATTTATTTCCTGAGTCCCCAGAATTAAACTATTTGCAGCTAGCAAAGATCACATCCTTCTCAGACCCTGCACAAGGCAAATAGTCTGCTGCTGTGCACAGTCTGAAACAGCCCTGTATCTCACACCTGGGATTAAAATGAAAACATGTTTATATAACATAACTGAGTTTTTAAAGAAACCAAAACTCCCACTACAGAACTGGGAATGGTGGCCCACACCTTTTATCCGGTGGACAGGAGATAGATGCAGGTGGATCTCTTTGAGTTTTAGGCCAGCCTGCTCTACATAGCAAGATCTAGGCCATCCAGGGCTTCACAGTGAGACCCTGTCTCAAAGAAGAAGACAAAAACCAGGAAATTGGAAATGTCTCTTTACTGAATATTTACAGTCTTATTTTGTTGCCATTGGTCCACAAACAAACAATAAACAGTTATTTGGGGGGACATTTATATTGTATTAGGTATCCTAAATGATCTGGAGGTAAAGTCTAAGGGAGGGTGCACACGCACAGGACACAGGCAGATACTAATGAGAGACAGAAGTACATGGGCTGGGGTTCTATAATTGTTCCCCCTTGGGTTCTGAGGGATGGCTGTGTGCACACTTCCTCCTCCTCTGTATGTGAGATACCCAGGCCACACTGAGAGAAGAGCAGAAGGAAAGGATGAGGTAATACTAAACTAATGCTCTGGAAGAGTGATAGCAGCTTGCCCTCCTGTGGAGCACTGGGGGTGCTAGAATGCTAGAAGTTCAGGAAGGGGCCGTGTCAGGGGCCCTGTAACCAGCTCACCCCGAGGGCTGCCCATCTTCATTTTGTTTTGTTTGTTTGGTTTTTGTTTTGTTCTGTTTTTATTTTGTTTTTGAGACAGGTTTTCCCTATGTAGCTTTGGCTGTCCTGGAACTAGCTCTGTAGACCAGGCTGGTCCAGGAACTCACAGAGATCCTCCTGCCTCTGCCTCTTGAGTGCTGGGATTAAAGGCATGCACCACTGCACGCAGGTAGCAGCATGTACTTGTTGATTTCTTCAGGCAGAACTGGGAGTATCCAGTGCCTGTGGCTTTTCAGAGATCTCTGGCCATTCTCAAAAGTGACTAAGGAAAGCTTTCTCTCCTCACAGCACTACGACATCAAACAGCTCTCTGCTTCTCTCCTGACACTGACTGTGGTTCCCACGATCTAATTCAAGTCTGAGACTATCCCACACATCAGGGGTTCAGTTCTACTCCCACTTTAGCTGACAGTTAAAATTACTGTGCTCAAGGGCACCCATCCACCTTTCCCATTTGCCTTCAAAGTGTGTGTGTATCCAGTTGCCTCCTCAGGTTCAAGAAACTGTTGTAGTGACAAAGCAATACTATAGGTTCTTTCTTATTTTTTTTTTTTTTCAAGACAGGGTTTCTCTATGTAACCTTGGCTGTCCTGGACTCAATTTGTAGACCAGGCTGAACTTGAACTTACAGAGATCCGCCTATCTCTGCCTCCCAAGTTCTGGGATTACAGGTGTGCGCCCCTGCACACATTTACCGTAAGTTCTTAATGGATTCAGATGAACAACAGATGGAGTGTTGTATAAGGTCCAGAGGGTACAGTGCTGCTGTCCCCAGAGAGTTGGTGTATGCTGTCCAATTGGCCTGTGTATGTATTACACTTTGTTCAAAATTTAGGGGATGTTACAATGTGAAGGCATGTTTGGTTTCTCCCTCAGAGGTGGGAGAGGGGCTGAGGTTTGTAACATTTTAACTAGCCCCCATCCTGCAACTATCTGTAGACCCCAAGCAAAAATCATTTCCTTAGTGTACTTAAGATCTCCTTAGCATTTCTGAAGATTGCAAACATCTTTCAGAAGCTAGAAATCCAAGACCAGATACATGTCTCCATCACTCCTGTGCTTGGAAATTTGTAAGGGTTTGAGGGATTCTCTGTCAAGAATTAAGGACAGAGGGACTGGAGAAATGGCTGAGCAATTCAGAGGACTAGCTGCTCTTCCCAAGGACCTGGGTTCCATTCCCAGCACCCACACGACAACTCATGCAACTCCAGTTCTAGGGATCCAACAGCCACACATTCAGGCAAAGCACCAATGCACATAGAATAAAAATAAACCTTTAAAAAAAAAAGAATTACGGCCAGAGAGCAGATATTTCTTACTGAGGATCTTGGCTTTATTTGCTTAGAATAATCCTAGTTTCTACTTAAATCTTTTGAGGTAAACAGAAACTTACACAAGGCAGCCAACTTTCTCCTGACTTTAATACTGAAAAATTTTAATAATAATGTTAATATTTTTAAAAATATTAAGTTTAGTATTAAAATATTAAAGGTGTGATGTGCACACCTTTAATCCCAGCACTCAGGAGGCAGAGGCAGGTGGATTTCTGAGTTCGAGACTAGCCTGGTCTACAGAGTGAGTTCTAGGACAGCCAGGGGAACACAAAAACAAAACAAAACCCTATCTCAAAAAACAAAAACCAAAGCCAACAATAACAAAAACAAACAAACAGATCCCTGCCACTGGCCAGGCATGGTGGTGCATGCTTAGCAATTTGGGAGGTTGAAGCAAGATAGTTCCTTTGAGTTCAGGGCTACCACCTGAAACAAACAAAACAAAAAAGCACCCTGCCCCCTAGTGGCTGCAAATGACTTGCCCTGTCTCTCGGCGGTGATGCTTTAAAGTGCCTGGTTACTTGTTCTTTAGGGCAGGCCACCAGGGCACAGGGACTCACATGTGGAGGCGAGTGTGACTTCACCGCAGCCTCCTGTCTTTATCCCCAGGGCTGCTGCTCTGGAAAAGGAAGTGGCTGGGTTTCGGGAGAAGATCCACCAGTTGGATGACATGCTCAAGAGCCAGCAGCGGAAAGTTCGGCAGATGATAGAGCAGGTAATGGGGGTGCTATCTTAGCTGCTCCAAATTTACCCTAAGCCTGCGCTTTTTTTTTTTTACTTATTCCCCTTGGCCACTTAGTGTGGTCCATGGGCATTAAGGCTGCTGGTTTCTAGAGTTCAGGTGCTGCTCTTTCTCAGTTGTTCCCTAGCACTGTTTTTACATTTAGTTTCTGCATTCTCATTGGAAAAGGAAAGAGGCTGGTCTCATTTATACTCTACATTTTTTGATAAGTGAGAAGTGGAGTCATAATAAACTCAGTTATTTGTGAAAATTATCAGTCTTCATGCATCCTGCAGATCTCTGCCTGACTGTTCTGCCTGACTGTTCTGCCTGACTGTTCTGCCTGACTGTTCTGCCTGACTGTTCTGCCTGAACATCAGAGTAGTGTGTGTTTGCAATAGGCCCAGTTGCTAAATTGTTTTGAGACCCTAAGATTCACCTCACTGAATAGGGAGGGCTCAATTCTTCCCATCCTGCCAGCTGCCTCCACATGTGTTTTGTTTACTGCCATTTCTCACTGTCTAGAACACTATGTGATGTGGTAAGCACTCGATAAATGTTCTCTAGACAAATGAATAAGTAATTTACACTTTTCAAAACCAGAAGGATTGGGTTTTGTATTGTCTGTTATGTCCTTTGGATTTCAGGCTGACCTTCCCTCTCACTCTACCACTCCTGTCTGGGTTTATAAGTGATGAAAATAAAAGTTTTCTAGAAAACTTGAGAAACCACCAATGAAACCATGAGAGGAGCAGAGCTCTCTTTTTGGCTCTGCTGGCTTCTCTGTGACCCAGGTGGAGTTTGGTGAGTGTATAGCTAGTCTTTGCCATGTTTGTTACATCTTTGCAGCTCCAGAATTCAAAAGCCGTGATCCAGTCGAAGGATGCCACTATTCAAGAGCTCAAGGAGAAAATTGCTTATTTGGAGGCGGAGGTTTGTGTATGGGAAAGCCCCCAACAGGGAACTGGGCTCTTGAGAAGCCTGGGCACAAGGAAGGCCCTTAGTCCTGTCCAGCAGCTGCTTGGAGCTGAGTATCTGGTAGCATTGTTCCATGGTAGCTGAGTTGAGAACTTCCAGGATACAGCTGACAGTGGTGAGACCTGTCCCTGCTGTAGAGTGCAGAGTAGCATGGTACAAGCCACCTACATGCACATTTGATCATATGAGCTTTGCTGACAGTGGAGCCAGGCTTTGAAGGAAGAGGGCACATTCTATGGTTGGCATCTCCTCATAGCTCTGATGGTGTGTTCAGTGACTTCCTAGTCTCATTTCTGCTTTGCCGCGGAGCCCTTCCATTCTGTTGCCCACCTTGAGCCAAAAGGAGATCACTTTGCCAGCCACTGTGTGATGATCTCTGTAACAGGGGAGACAGATGGGAGACAGGGTATTTAGAGAAAGTGTGGTCTAGAGTTAAAGATAAAATATGTTGGGGAAAACCGAAATAAAACCAAGATTATTTGGGCTGGAGATATGTCTCAGATGTCAAGAGCATGCGCTCTTCCAGAGGACTTGAGTTCAGTTCCCAGCAAACACATGTGGCTGCCCACAACCACCTGAATGTCCAGTTCCGGGGCACCTGACACTTTCTTCTGGGACTCCAAAGGCAACTGTATGCATGTGGCATACGTATAAATAAAAAGTAAAAGTAAAAACAAAAACTACAAATATTTTAAAAACTAGGCTGTTGACCAAGGCATATGACTATTTTAACTGAAGACAAGAAGCTATGTTCAAGAAATGTATACAGAGAGGAGCCAGAAGTGACTGGTGTTGCTGAGTTGCTGAGGAGCAGGGACTCAGGGCACAGGGTGAACTGTTCTGATGAAGATAAAGGGAGGGGAGAGGCCTATTTAACAGGAGCATCCATGCAAGTTAAACAGGGCCTGGAGCAAGCCAGAGAGACCCACTGTAACCTGTGCTCACCTTTTAGAACTTAGAGATGCATGACCGCATGGAGCATCTGATAGAGAAGCAGGTCAGTCATGGGAACTTCAGCACACAGACTCGTGCCAAGACAGAGAACCTGGGAAGGTGAGTACGAGCGGAGACTGGGCTCAGGAGGATGGGAGAGAGCGAAGGAGCTTTGTGAAGCCTTCCTTGATGAGTCAAGGAAGGCTCAAGCCCAGCTTTCTGCCCTGCACCCTGGTCTGAGTTCAGCAAGCTACTTTCTAGCCTGAGAGGACCGTGCATAGCTTATGGAAGTATGCGAACCCCCAAGATTGTATGTGAAATTTATTTATAGTATTTGTGTATTGCAGATTTGTACATATATTTGCATATTTCTAGAGGAGTGTTTTTTGTTTCTAACAGATTGACAAAAAATGCCTCAAATCTCGGGGGGAAAAACCCAAGAATCTCTGCTCTGCCCACTTCTCAGTTGTGTAACTACCCTGTCTTTACCACCCTTGCCACCGGATAAGTGTGTCATACAACAGCTTCCCCTCCGTGTTATTGAAAATCATTGTTTTGAGCTCTTAGAACTCAAGAGATGAGGCAGCCCTGCACCATGTAGGGGAGGCTCTGGGAAGTACTTCGGATGCAGCAGCACAGCCCTCAGTGTTCACTCTCTCTCTCCAGTGTCAGGATATCCAAGCCTCCCAGCCCTAAGCCTATGCCTCTCATCCGAGTGGTGGAAACCTGAGCTGCTAGGACGTGGAAGCTGCCATTGCTGTCGCCTCATCCCTGCAGAGAAGCCCACCTGTAGGCTGTTGATGCTGCCTCTGACTTCCTGACTACCCTGGTGGCCCCAGGTCTTGGGCTCATGGCCCGGGCTCTTGTCCTGTGCTTGCTAGCAGATGGGGCAGGACCGTCTGTCTCTTTGGGACCCTGCAGACCTTGAGAGGACAGTCCCCTGCTGGCAGAAACGGGCCAATATCCTCATTCACAGTGTTTTTCCACGTAACAGAGCTTCCCTGCTATGTACACTGGAGTCTAACTGCCCCCAAGCCAGGCCCTCATCAAGTCCAGAGAAGTGACTAAATTTGTCTCAGCCGGAAAAGCTGGAAGCACAGATGTACAGTGATTGGAGGGTGTCCTGGGGGAATGAAGTTCCTTCGAAAACACAGCTCAGTTCTTAGCAACAAACTGTTTGTTTTTCCACTTGGCTCCACCCTTGTACCATGCTGACCAGGGCCTCCCACAGACAGCCAGTGGAGGCTAGCTGGCCTGGCCTGGTCTTAACCAGGGAACCTAAGCGAGATAGCCTTGCCCTTCTAGGGACAGAGGAATGTACATCCAGGGAGCAGTTTTTAGCAGGAAGATTCTCTAGGGCCATGACTAGTTCGTGTGGCTTCTCTACTGCAGAAGGTCCCAGGCTCTGGGTTCCCTAACCCAGAGCTAAGAACTGTTTCCACTGAGTTGCATCAGTCCCAGCAAAACCGCTACTGTATTTATTCTGCTAAGTTATTGCTGGTTTTGCTTACATCTCATAATTGACCTGGTACCAGTGTTCTGCAGCCTTCTGCTAAGTATTTGGGTTTATCTGGACGTGGGGGAAAGTATTCTGGTGGGCCTGGCTGGTTCTACAGTGGTGTACTAACTCCCCATGCCTTCCCTCTAGCTAGCTGCTGCTTTTTACTTCTTCCTCCAGAGTGGACCTGTAACTCAGGAGGCTAGTGTCTGTCCCCAAGTGTGTACTTTCTGGAGACTAGGGCAATCAGGAGTGCTGGGGGGACTGGAGTGGGTTCTTCTAACCTCTTGGAGCCCTTCCAGTCCACAACAACTTCTACTCCAGCCCTGAATGACCCTGTAGCTCATTGTGTTTCTTATTGTGTGGTCTAGTAGCCTCAACAGTGTTCAAGCATATGAATGTGGGACCATAGGAACAGTTTTAGTCTTAGATCTACCTGGGTCATAACCAGAAGCCTTAAGTCTGTGTGTTTCTATGTCATGAGTAGGCCCAGGGCCTGTCTTTGTCTATACAGTGTCCTGAGACTCAGGCAGACTCTCTGCAGAATGAGGAAGTTCAACATGATCTCCGTGTCCCTTCAAATTCTTTTCCTGTCTGTAACACAGTCTTTGTATGGTGACTTTAATAAATTATGCTAATATGTCTCTTTGCCTTGTGGGCCTGGTCTCCTTTTACTTCTTAGAGAGGATGAAACATAATATGCCATCTCTCGAACGTGGCATTGTGCTGTCAGCATCAGAAAGGTGTGTTACAGCTCTCATGCTATGATGTGTGGGGTGTTGTGGTATTCAGAAAAGTTAGAGTCATCAGGCTCGGTGGTCTAAACCTAGCTTTGACCCTGTTTGGGGCAGTGACCTTGTGGGTTCCCTGAGCTTGGCCATTCTGTCCTGATTTGGAACAACACTACCCAGATTTACAGGTCCTGAGACTGCATGGAAGGACACCAGTCACAGCAGAGGCACATGAGCAGCTCACATCCTTTGCAATAGAGGGTAAAAGCTCTGGGAAATGCTGACTGCAACTCTTTGAGGGTTTGTTAGATTCTGGCAATCTCTGTTAGTACAGTTAGCTTTCTGCCAGGAAGCTAGTTGGCTGCAGGGCTAAATAAGACATAACTGAATTTACACAAACTCTTCTGGGCCAAGGAAATGGGAAACAACACCCCCTTGTTGCTGGCCCTTCTGGTTCTCCTTTCTCTTTCAACTGAGAGTGTAACTTTGCTCCCTTTGCCTCTCAGCTGATTCACAGCACAGGTGTCAAAATGCTTGGGAAACATTCCACCCCAGATCTGGATTCGTCTTCTGACTCCTGGGTTTCTCTTGCCATCGCAGTCTTGCTTGGCACAGGGATATCCAGACCGCTTGTCTCAGAGTATTAGCAGGGTGGGGTTGGCAAGGGTGCCAACAAGACTGGCCTGGCTGGAGGACTCAGGAGTGCTGCCCTGCAGGAAGGGGAGGCTGTCTGGCAGGGCGCTGGGCTCCATGGGAGGAGCAGAGATGTGGGTGGAGATAGGAAGTGGCAGAAGACTTTCTGGAGGCTCTAAGAGATTCTTTAGGGGGAAAAAAAAAGAGGAAAGTGTTGCGGTGGTGGCCAGTGAGTCCTGGTGTCCGCTTTGCCTGGCACTGTGCGCTGCTGCTGAAAGGAGCAAGGCCAGGAAAGATGCTGGGGAGACGCTGGGAAACCATTCGGCATCTCGACAGTCTTTTCAATTAGAGATGTCAGATGGGGCTGGGGAGACGGCAAGCTCCTGGCCTCTGCCCTATTTATTGCCTATCTTTTGTGGTGTTCTAAGCCAATTCCTGTGTACTACCCTCTGGTAGCTTGAGTTCTGCTTCTTTAGGACCTTTGCTGTGAGGGCGTTATGAGCTGCACAGACATGCAGTCATTATTGTCAGCCTCCTATAAAACTGGGCTACAGGCCTGGTGTGGGAAAAGAAGCTCACAGGAATGCTTGCTCCCTGCTCCCCCACCCCCACCCCCAGCGACTGCCCATATTCCAGCTTTTCATTTTCCCTTGTGCTGAGCAGAAAACAGTGCATAATGTTTCAGCCAGGTGGAGCAGGTTGCTAGCCTTGGCCAATTTGGTGATGAAACGTGGGGACTGAAAACTTAAGGGCTGTCTGGTCAACTTACTTACAGCCCATCTCAAAATAAAAGTTTACCAAAATAAAGAAAAAAGTGCTGCATACCTTTAACACCAGCATTTGGGAGGCCAAGAAATCAACCCACAGGTTGATTTCTGTGGGTTTAAGGCAAAAGTCTACACAGTGAGTTCCAGGCCAGACAGGTGTCTAAGGTTCAAAGATGATTTGTTCGTGTGTGTGTGTGTGTGTGTGTGTGTGTGTGTCTGTCTGTCTGTCTGTCTGTCTGTCAGTATCTCTGTCTCTGCCTTTCTTGGGGTCCCATTTATGTAGCTTAGGCTAGCCGCAAAGTCACCATCCCCCTGCTTCACCCGCAGGTGCTGGGATTACAGGTGTGCACCATCATGCCTGGCTTTGTCCCCAAATCACTGTTCACAGAGAACTGTTCTACCACTTTGGATGGAGGCTTTGCTTGGGTACAGACGAGGTTAATGCCCTCTGGAATGGAAAAGCAGTATTCCCTCTCTAGCGAGCTCCTAGGTCTGAGTGGCTGGGTTTTTGGTTTGTTTTTGTGTGTGAGGATGTCCCTGTGTAATTCACTGACTTCTCTTTTTTCTCAGAGCCAAGCATGCTGAGCTAGGGCTCGAGTCTGTTCAGGCCATGACTCAACAACAGATGTTAGCTTAGGGCCCTTGACCTCTTTTTCATGCTTTGATTTAGAGCTCTAGCTTTGCAAGGAACAATTGCCTCCTCTATTCTGTTCCAATTAGAAGCACCATGGCCTTGAAACTCATAAGTTGGAGACCTACATACTCCCCTTTTCCCAAGGAAAATGCTTATCTACATTGAGGATGAAGGAGACAGTTCTTAAAGGTAAGTCTTTCTGGTTCACTGAGGCTGACTTGGGACTCTAAAATGTATGTGGCTTTTATGCTAGAATCTGTTTCCCTGAGTCCTGTGGGAGAAGATATTGAGGGTAGATGGTGGCAGGATAATTAATTTCTCAACAGGGAATTGGTCACCAAGTCTTAAACTGCAAGGACATCAGGCTGCTGAAGGAAAGGAAATCATTAGTTCTTGTGACTTGAGTGTGCTATCATACAGCCAGCCCTTTCCTCTCTGTTACTGGGGGCTCCCAGCCCAGCCTGACTTTTTGTCTGTCTGTAACTTTAACTGTGGTTTTCTGTTTTAGTTGACATGCTATGTAAAATATATTACTGGGTGGGAATTTTGCACAACATCAGTCCATTTTAAAAAATGAGCTTCTGTTGACCATATAATTTCAGGGTCAAGAGGTCTGCAATCAGCTTCCATCTACTCTGTTTCCCTTCACAGTCTCTCCCTCCCTTCCTTCATTCTGAGACAGGTTCTCACTGTGTAACCCAGGCTAACGTTGAACTCTTGATTCTCCTGCCTCCTACGGGCTGAGACAACAGCTGTGAACTATCACGTCTGACTTCAGCTTCTCTGCTTTCTCTTGGTAGAACCATAACCCTTCAGACTAGACAACCATCTTTGACTCCTCTTTCCATTTCTTACTCTAATTATATCTGTTTTGTCAACTTGTCCATTTCCTCTCTTGAAAGCTCTTGTTTGTGCCCTGTCCACGGCCACAGCCCTCTCCTAGCCGGCCTCCTCCTTAAACTTGGGTTAATGAAGAAGCCATGCCTTGCTGCCCTGCACCTCTTGTTACCACAAAGATTTATTGGAATCGTGTCTAAACGTACTAAGCACTTGTCTAAGGGGACTCACAACTGCCTGCAGTTCCAGTTCCAGGGGATCCAATGCCTCTGGCCTCTGTGTGCACAGAGCCGTACACATAATTAAAAATCATAAAAATAAGTCTTTTAAGAAAAGATAAAAATTGTTATTGTTAGGAGATGGGAAAAGTAGGCAAAGGAAGAATTGAAAAAATCAATAAAACCCTACCCCATATTATTTGTGCAGTTTCGGGTCAAATGCTCTAGGACAGGGTTGTGTTCTTCCAGAATTCTATTAGGTTAGTGGGCCAACTGGGAACCGTGTATGATAGTGAAAAATGAGAGATGCTGAGGATAGAAAGGATGTGACACTAGAACTGAGCCTGAAGGATTTGAGGATTTGAGCCCGTGAGAAAGATCAGGAAGCCTGCAGTGGAAATCAGTAAGCATAGCTGAGGAACAGGTAGCCCAGCTGAAGGCCTTTTGGGAAGGTAATGGGAGAGACCAGTAGTAAGGTAGGCCTTCTCTAGGACTTCTAATCTATCTATCTATCTATCTATCTATCTATCTATCTATCTATCTATCTATCATCTATCTATCTTCTATCTATCTATCTATCTATCTATCTATCTATCTATCTATCATCTATCTATATTAAATATATATTGAGTCAGGGTCTCACTACGTAGACCTGGGTGGCCTTGAACTCAGAGATCTACCTGCTACTGTCTCCGATGTGTCAGGATTAAAGGTGTGTACCACCACTGGAGTTTACACAATAATTTTACCAACTACAAGTAACTTTGTTTGTTTGTTTGTTTGTTTGTTTGTTTGTTTTGAGACAATCTTACTACATAGCTCTGGCTGTCCTGGAATTCACTATGTAAACCAAGCTGACCTTGAACTCAGAGAGATCCTCCTGCCTCTGGCACCCAAGTGCCAGGATTAAAAGCATATGCCACCATGCCCAGCTGCATGTAAATATTAAATGAATTGATAGGTCGGGGGGGGGGCAGTTCAGCTGAGAGAGACAATACCATCAAACGTGTCAGTGGGACTATGCAGAGGGCATGGAGAGTACAGCCTGACTGAAAGAGGAAAGCAAGTCAAATCATCTCGAAAATGGGAAAGTGTAGACTGAGAGTAACAAGGAACCAAGACAAACCCACTTCAAAAGCATGGCTAACACCCAGGAGTGTCTGTCTCACCCTCTTTAGAGACAGTCTTTTCCCTTTGGCAGAGCTGTGGTAAGTGCCCATAAGATTCTGTGCCCTTCCTTACCCATGCACAGTCTTCATAACAAGCATTTGTACTGAACACATAGTAATGCAGTGCAGCGCGTCCTCACATAACCATTTCTCTATTGTCGAACATGACATTTCCCATTTTCTGCTATTGTGATTAGCATGCAACAAATTTGTGTGCCGAGAGACGTGGAAAGAAACTGAGTCTTTGGTGAGACCCTCGGCTGCTGTTACGGAGTTTGTGATCCCTGGGGAAAGACCATAGATCGGATCCTATTATACTTAAAAGATTGATTGGTTAGCCTCTAGCAGGACCAACAATCTGAGCCAAATTTCAGATTGCCGTCCGGGAGGGGGATGGGAGAGGACCTTTAAAGGGGAAAACCACGAGAAGAACTTCAATCTCTATGCAAACCAGCAAAAGCTGTTCTGTTCTGCCAACTGAAAACAATCTTTGGGCATCTGTGTGAGCAAGTTACAGAAGCAAAAGAAGCAATTAGCATATCATAATAACATAGTCACGCCTGCACATTTTTAGGTGGGGGTCAGGAGTCACAGTTCCTGGGAACTTAACTTCAGGGACTGAAGTTGGAGACAAACACTTGGTGGATACTGAGGTGGATGGCTA